AAAATGCCTGAAAGTGCTTTTAAGCTACATTCTGCCCCTAAAGTGTTCAGTCACACTGTATCCATTCCTCATTATTTATTACTTTTACTGTACTGTATCCATTCCTCATTATTTTTTATTTATCTGTATTTCATTGTAGATTTTAAAAATTTTGAATTTTTTTTTTGAAATTTTTTTATTTTTATTTCTTTATCATCATAATAGGACTACGACCTGGATTTGGGTCCCTAACCCGTCATAAATAGAGTCTGGGTGTAATAATAATATATATATATATATATATATATATATATATATATATAATATATATATATATATATATATATATATATATATATATATATACTTATATATTATGTATATATATACATATATATATATATATATATATATATATATATATATATATATATATATATATATATATATATATATATATATATATTATATACAATGGAGATTGTGCTATAACGAATCTATGGTTCTAGAACCTTGTTGGTTATAGCATTAGATAGATATAAGTTAATCCGTTCCGGGCCCCAAATACAACCACCTAACACTGAAAAATATAATATAAAATTGTAAAATTGTAAAAAAGTGCATAAATATGCATCTAAACCCCTAAATAAAGAATATCATTAATACTTGTAATAAAAAAAAAACAATAAATTAGTAAAAAAAAATTTTTTAATTATAATATTTGTTGTAAGAGTTTCGTTAAGTTATAGCATTCTCAATTTTATAGGTAAAACCGTTAAGTTATAGGAATATTAGTAGTGATCCGTTAGATATAGCATACCCCACTGTATAAATATATATATATATATATATATATATATATATATATATATATATATATATATATATATACACTACATTATACTCGACCTATGACCATCTGGACATCGACCGCTTCAGTCATACCAAAATTTTGCCAATGCATTATTTTGAGTCCAACGTTAGTGATTGCACTGTGTACTGAAAAATTTTTTCGTTTGTAATTCACTTTAAAATGACTTGCTAAGCTTAAGCGTGAGTTTTATGGTGCTGAGAGAAAATGAGACACCCATTTTAGATTTCTATGTACAATATTATTTAAGCATTTTGACTTACGACCTGGATTTGGGTCCCCTAACCCTGTAAATGAAAGTCGAGGCATAACTTATATATATATATACAGGTAGTCCCCGACTTATGACTGACTCAACTTATGTCAATCCGCACTTATGACCTGCTCTGACCTTACGACCGTCTGCACACACGACCGCCACAGTCATGACCAAAATTTTTTCAAATGATGCGCGCATTTTCTATTCCAAAACGTTTCCGTCCCGTGCGAGAGCGTGGCTGGCAGGTCACCGCGTGGTTACTCTCAGTACAGAGCTTAGTTGGTGTTTGGCTATTGGCTATAAATCACTATACTGATCGCGCTGTGACCCTTACGTTAATATCGTATTTAATTGACTTTTACTCAGCGGCTGGAAAGCGTACAAGTGAGAGTGCGATGGTGCTCCGAAGAAAAGAGGAAGCAAACAATTACTTTTGAGATGAAAATGAAGATAATATTGCAATATGAAGAATGGAAAAACAATGCGCGTAGTCTCCATGACCTGGGTTTCTCTGCTCGACCATATCACTATTCTGAAGGACAAGGAATCTATTAGTGATGTATTGAAGACAGCACCCTGTCAAAGAAGAACTAATTTCGAAAGAAAGGAATAAGGTCCCTATTCTGTCACCAGGAAAAATTGTGGTATTATGGATAGAAGACCAAATACAGAAGCGTGTACCCTTAAGCACCTTCTGTACTTACAGTCTAAGCAAAATCCTGTTTCCAAAGCCTGAAGGTGACAGAAGAGATAAACTCACTCTTTCAAGTCATGGGTGAGTTTAATAGATTTAAAAAATGCTATAGTTTACACAATGTTGGAGTGAGTGGAGAGGCAGCCTGGCGTACTGATGTTGGCGGTGCTGCAGAAAGCTTTTTAGGAGGAGTTAGATGATGTGTGATTTATTGGAAGGGGTGTTGCCTGGATTGTTGTGGAGGCGCCCATGCCTGAGGACATACATCCACACAAAAACAATGCACCAGGGGATTCAAGGCATTCAAGGAGAAAGTACACTTCTGTGTTGAGGAATATTTGCTGGTTTCAACCTAAAGCTAACTGGGTCTATCATTCCAGAAGACACAGGGCTTTTAAACATATAACAAGCACACCTGTCAAATATTCTCCTATAATCTGAGTACTGTTTGAGGAGTTCGTTTGGCGACTGTTTTCCATTTCCACGAACCAAGAAATTATTGTCTGCAACAAAGTGCATTCAGATTTTGTTAATTTTCAGATAATGCTCCCGGGACACCCCACCACCTGGGCGACATGCGCCTGATGCAGGTAGTCTACATTCACCTGCCTCTGTCATCCAGCCCCGCTGGATCAGGTGCTCGCCAGCTTTTAAGCCGAATTACTTACGTGCGACCAACCGCTCAGGCTGTTGCTGCTACTGAGAGTGAAAACGTTCAGAGAGTTTTTTGGAAGAGTACAACATTTTGAAATGTATAAAAAGAACATAGCTGCAGCATGGGATAATTTAGAATCAATACATAAATAGAATATAAAAATCCTAAAAATATATGAAGCTAATTCAGGAATTATATCAGAAAATTTCTGAGATTAATAACAAGATAGTGGAGTTGGGTAAACAGCTTGAGTTAGAAATTGATAATGAAGATGCTGAGCAAGTTGGTTGAAAGTGTAGCAGAAGAGCTAAGTAACGAGGATCTTATTGAACTGGAAGCACAGAAAAATGCAGAGGAAGAAGAGAGTCAAAATGTAGAAGAAGAACCTGCCCCAAATATTTTTCAGTGAAACAAATGACAGAGGCATTTGTTAAAATTAATAAGGGGATGCAAATGTTTGACGGAATGGATCAAAATGTTGAGCGTTTTGCTAAAGTTGACAGAATGGTCCAAGATGCACTTGCTTGCTACAGGGAGATTTATAATGAAAAGAAAAAACAAACTGTGCAGTCTAAATTGGACATGTATTTTAAGAAGTCCCCCATTGCTGTCTCCTCACGCCCCACCAGTGCTGCCTCTTCACTCCCTGAAGATGATCCAATACCTTCAACAAGCAAGTTTCCCCTGTATATTAACCTGTCTGAAGAAAGCGAAATTGATGACCCACCCAGCCCTGTCCCCTCCTCTGCTTCATCCAGTTAATGTAGTCTCCATGAATAATTAGAAAATTATGGGGGCCCCGTGTGCATTCAGCTGACTACATTAAAGGTAAGTGAACAGTAACACTGTATCCATTCTTCATTATTGATTACTTTTACTGTACTGTATTTCATTTTAGATTTTCTATGTACGTATTATTTTTTGTATTTTCGACTTACGACCATTTTGATTTACGACCTGGATTTGGGTCCCTAACCCCGTTGTAAGTCGGGGAGCAGCTGTATATACAAGTAAATATTTTTTTTTCATTTATTTTTTTTTTTTTACAGAACACAGAGTCAGGTTGTAAAGCACACTGCAAGATAACTACTGTACACTGAATAATGAGGTTGTAAATAAGAGATTTTTTTGGTAAAATACAGTATATCCTCAATGTGACTCACCTTTTCTGGGATCATATTTTTCAAGGTTGTCACCAAAGGAAGTCCGAGCATAATGTCCAGTTGCAATAATTTCACAATTTAAATCTTCTTGTGCATGCTTGAGAAAAGGAGAGAACTTAATCTTCTTATTGCACATGATATCTGGATTAGGTGTAAAACCTGCTTTATACTCTTCTATCATGTACCTGTGAAGAGCAAGAACTGTCTGGGTGCCAATATAGCAAAATTAAATTTTTTAGTATCTTAAGAATGAATCGTCAAATATATTTGATGAAAAAAAATGATTAAACAAGTAAGAATTTGCTTAACAAGAATTACAACAAAATATACTCTAAGATAAACTGAATCTGAAATTAAATCATTAAGGTTTATAAGTAAAGTACTCTACTGTAATGTCAAACCAGTGGAATAAGACCAAGAAATTACTTTGGTCAGCACAGCAGAGATGAATTGTGTATGAAAGTGGAAGAATGGCAAATGTACTTAAACAACAATTAAAATAAGAGAGCAAATTCAAGTCATGGAATGTTTATATCTATCAACTAAAGTTTAGGGCAGAGGGACAAATAGATTTCATACAGCCAACAAATCACCTGTCCTATGATTTTTAAGATTAAAATGTTATCATGTCAGAACATCCCCTGGTGAAGCCTGCTTTGTCCAAGGGCTATGTGTTCAGAGGCAGGGATACTATCCTTTTGCACCTTGTCTCTAACATTATGAGGTAAATGGTGTGGTAGAGGGGATGGAGTGGTTGGTTAAACTAAAATGGGGGCAATATACTGTATCACTGTATCACCCTGGTCTAAAAGTAAGTAGCTTGTTTTACAGAAGCAATCTAGCTTTGGCTTAGCTATGTAGGAAAATAAACATGAAATTTGATAAGACATCATTCCAGTGCTCTACCAGAAATCTGAGAAAAGGTTCACTTACATAAAAACATCGTTCCAGTACTCCTTAACAAAGTTAACTTCATGAAAGGGAATATCAAGTCTGCGACAGACCCACTCTGCATCTTCAGCATCAGCATCACCTGCACAGTGGCCTTTTTCATTCTTCTCATCCCAGTTGCGCATGAATACCCCGATGACTTCATATCCTAAAAAGTTTGAAATTATACTGTACTGTACGTGATTTATCACTAAAACTGTCATATGAATTACTGTACAGTTGATCAAAAACTATCCTTACAAAATTGTGCTAGACAATATGACAACAGATGAAGGATTTTGACAATTCTACCGAGACAACAAGTCGTAATTTTCATTCTGAAATTCATCGACCCCCCCAAGTACAGATAGTATTTTTATCAAGAGTACTACAGTATACATGTTTCTTGTTTCAGATCAAAACAAGTGTTCTTATATACAGTAAGATCTCATATTTCGCATTTTTTAATTTCGTGAGCACTACCTAATATAACCAAGTCTTATATCTGGCATAAAATATCGTGAATTTCACGAGATCCAGCCAGCTGAACGCGAGATCCAGTAAGCTGAATGCTGACCACCGTCTTGAATGACATCACAGCCCTCATACCAGTTACAGTCATTTCTGCTACAACGTGTGTTTTGTCAACGCGAATTGGTTGCAACGCGGTTGATGAATAGGGGAACGCTGTTTGTAAAACGTGAACTTTTGCATATGAATGTTGGCTATAGTGCTTTTCCATCCTCAATGTTTTGATTCCATCCTCAACGTTTTAAGCGTGTCACGGGGTTATGCAATGTTTACAGTTCACGTTCGACATCACATGTACAATTGATTCGTGTTTTTTATTTGTGAAGTGTTTTTTGAGTTACTCTGTAAATTTATTTATTTTTTTAATTTAACTGTTACCCATAAATACTGAATGAAAAGAATAAGTAAAAAGAATGTTTCACAGTAAGGACTAATAACAGTTTACACCAGCGCTCGCTGTTTACATCACGTGATCAGTATTTGCCAACAGTGCGTGACAGAGACGTGACCGATCGCCCGGGCGGCTAGCGAGCCGATCTTTTGGTGAAGAAGATAAATGAAAAGAGACATGACCGATCGCCCAAGCGGCTAACAAGCCGATCAGTGGCGAAGAGGATAAAAGTAAAAAAAAGTAAAAGAATCGTGCGGTTTCTGTCACTTACTCCGTGATTTTTGCTATTTTCTCCAATTTTGTTGTGTTAGCGATGAATACGGAAAGACAAGGTAAGAAGAATGTTTCCAAGAAGTGCTCTGGTGATCAAATTGCCAGTGGTGAACGTAAAAGAGGTTTACAAGAATGCAACTATCGCGTTATAGCCCGCACCATCCTAGCAACCGCCAGGGCTGTTATTGTGTGCTGTTTTGGATGGTGCTACAACCTGTCGAGTCAAGATAATGGCCTCTACCTCTACTGGGGGTCCTACTGGTGCTGGTGGGACAGACCCACCTAAGTGGCCAAATAGGGAAAAGGAGAAGCGGGAGTATCATAAGGGAGTTAAGTTTGCCAAGTACTCGATGCAGGATAAGCGGCATGTGATTAAATTACTTGAAGGCCTAAAAACTAGTTTCCAGAAAGCACAATCAGGTCAATAAAGGCAGAAATTGTATCATTTGGAGGTTATAAATGGGAAAATCAGAGGTGGCCAGTGTATATTGTTATTTTTCTCATTAGTTTATGTATTTGCATTCGGCAAATTTGAATTTGGCGAAATTTTTCCAGTCTATATTACTCGCGAAATACAAGACCTTACTGTACAGTACTGTAAGAACACTTAGTGACTGCTATATTATACCATTATTTGAGATAACATGAACCAACCTAACCTAATATTGTAGAAAAAAACGATATTGTATCATTGTTGGGTTAAGTTGATTCGTCTTCTCTTGGAAAAATGCTGTACAGTAATAAAACGCATCAGTTGTTATATCTGTCTGTGTGGAAATCGCAGTAATACTTTAGGATACCATACTATATTTGCAGAAGTAAATTTCCTATTTTCAAATACTGTAGTTTGCTATTGGAGACAACTTCTTTCTCACCTCAAGGAAATTGCAAGTAAAAGATGAAGAATTAAGATTTTCATAACTTTGTTTTTCTGGAGTTCTTCTTATAAACACATCAATGGACTACCATCCATTATGTCCAACCAATAGGCCTTCCGGGGCTTGATCTGCTGACGAATTATTTCCAAAAACCTTTCCATACCTTACCTAATTTTTCTCATCCAAGTCATGAAGTCCTGCAACATAAATCCACTACAGGTTGTACCTCTCTAGTCCGGCAACCTCGGGACCTGACCGGTGCCGGACCATGGAAATTGCCGGACCAAGGAAATTCACCCTTTTCCTGGATAGATAGTGACTTGTGCTTATGCTTGGAAGCACTCGCACCACTTTCTGTGCATCATGGTCTCTTTGAAGACATATTGAAGGGTTAAATGTCGTATAGTAGCTTCTCAAATTTCACGAGTTTTTAATTCAACGTATATTATTGGAACACACACAAAAAAAATAAATAAAAATTTTGACGGCGGAAACTTGAATTTCGACGGGTTTGAATGGCCCGCCAACGTGCAGACGATGTGCATAATCGTGTAAACAGCGTCATTTCTCTTATGTACAAAAGATTCATTATTGTTTATTACTGAATGTCTTTTTTATTGAATTCATGTTTATGTGTGCAAAATGAGCAATACAATTCATTAATAATACGTAGAATATTAAAACACATGAGGAAATGACACAGCATTGTTTTCGTTGATTACAAAACCAGTGACTGACTGGTTCTACATATAAAACTGAAGAAAATAAGACCTTGGTTGTAGCTGTAGTAAAATTAATATGGTTGTTTTAAGTAATGTTATTTAATGTTAATAAATAGAACAATAGAAGTAGCTAACGATAATGGTAAAGAAAAAAGAGAGATCACGTATGTAAGTGAGCACACGTGAAAACATATCGTCATTACTTTACGTAAGAATATGAAAGCAACACTTATTTACTGTTCATATATATATTTTAATTAATGTTTCTGAATTTGTTTTTATTGAATTAATGTTTGTGTGTGCAAAATTAACAGTACAATTTATTAATAATACGTGGAATATTAAAACACACAAGACGAGACGGCTGGCGGCATTGTTTATGTTAAAGCTTACAAAACCAGTGACTGATTGGTTCTACATATAAAACTGAAGAAAATAAGACCCTGATTGTAGCTGTAGTAAAATTAATGTAAAAAAAATTAATATGGTTGTTTGAAGTACCTGTAATGTTATTTAATGTTAATAAATGGAACAATATAAGTAGCTAACCATTAATGGTAAAAAAAAAGTGAGACTGCGCATTTGTAAGTGAGCACATGTGAAAACATATCGTCATTACTCTACATAAGAAAATGAAAGCAACACTTATTTACTGCTCATATATTGAAGGGTTAAATGTTGTACTCTGTATAGACAAGCAGAGAGAGAGAGAGAGAGAGAGAGCAACCGAACTGCCGGATGTAAACAAACCTTAATTTCTCGCGGCTTTGTTGTTGTTGTTTTTTTTTTATGGGGATTAGCCCACCCGGGCATAGGTCACTGACCCACATTGGGGCCTGAAGGGCAAAAATTTAATACTCCTGTAATAATAATAATAATTCAGATTTAAAAAAGAAAAAAAAAAAGAAAAAAAAAGCTGCATATCTGCCTATTGGACAAACTAAAATCGTTCCGGACCGCGGGAGTTTCCGGACCACAGAATGCCGGACTAGAGAGGTACAACCTGTATTTCAGTTCACTTGTCAGTAAGGAATCACTCCCACAACTGAAGAAACTTGCAAACAGCAGACCTGTTACAGTATGGTATATAATTTGATCTGATCCATGATGACTTTGACACTTCTCAGTGTATGGCCCAACATTAAATGGACTGTGATATGCTCTCGGGTGGTGTAGGTATTTTGAAGTGCTGACAACTGCCATAACCTAATATTGTACCTGTATCTAAGAGGCCACTTTCCTCACATAAAACTTGGATAAGTTCAGGCAATGACAGATCAAGATGCTGTAGTCTGTTACAGGTAGGTCATAGGTATATATATTAGTGGTATGCAGTATTTTGTTCATTTAATACTGTACATGTACAGTGGTGGTGTTTGCTAAAGCAAATACCGCTCTGTGTCTGTCCAACTGCAGTTAAGCCTCGGTAGCAATGGTACTCCATGCCAGATGCTCGCACCCCCAGGGGTGCACGAAAGGATTTTAAGGAGTACTGTACATGTCACTCTGTTGTGCCATGATATTGTTACTAGAAGAATACAGTTGATGGTAAACGACATCAAATTACAGCTAGTTTCACGTGTAATCCATAGCGACTCATTCTCAATTCAGCTAGATGAGTCAACAGAAATATCAAACCATGCTCAGTTAATGGGATTTGCGAGGTACCAGTATGATGAAAAAGTTTGCAAAGATTTTCTCTTCTGTAAGCAAATTCCAAAAACAACCAAGGGGTATAAATATTTTCAAAGTGAATCCTTTTTTTGGAGTGAAAACAAAATTGAATGGTCAAAATCCATTGCAGTGTGTACAGATGGTGTTGTTGCTATGACTGAATTTAGAAGAGGGTTTATAGCATAAGTAAAAAAAAGTGGTACCAGGTGTAAAGCACATTCACTGCATAATTCAGAGTTGTAAAGTAACTAAATAAATTTACTTGAGTACTGTCCTCAAGTAACATTTTTGAGTATTTACTTTTTAAAAAGTACAGGTGCTCCTCTACTTACAAACGAGTTATGTTCCTGAGGCTTGTTTGTAAATCCAACTTTACTCTTGTAGATACCAAACATACAGTCGGCCCTTAACATACGCGGGGGTTACGTAACAGAGATAGCCGTGGATGTTAAAAATCCGCGTATATGTGCTGCCCCCCCCCCCAAAAACCCTGGCTCCCATGTCCTTATTTACCGTATATACCTGTGTGTAGTTTGAGTTTTTAAGACCAAATTATTTGGCAAAAAATTGGGGGTCGACCTCTAAAAGGGTAATAGTTTCGTTAGGTTGAAAAATATTTACCAGTAACTACCAGTAAACAATGGAAACGATGCACCAATGCACCACCAGCTGTGAGTGTCGGTACAGTTGCCAGGGCAGA